GAAGAGATGGCGGACGAGGGGGATTCAAAGGGCGGGAAAGGCGGAAATGGGAATGGGGGAAGTGGAAGGGTGGTCGGGGGAAGAGAAGATAAACTGGCAGGCAGAGATGAGGAGCGACGGACTGTTTCTCTGAATATCGAAATAGACGATGATGGCTTCAGTCAGTCAAGTTTACAGTCAACGCTACCGAGAACGTTACCGACAGCCTTGCTGACTATATCTGACGTCAGAAGGTGTTTGGAGAGCCATCCAGGCCGCCATTGAGGCGTATAAAGAGGTTTACTAGACGTAATTCATCTAAGACTGACGGTAGTAGTGGCTCTGTTGCGACTCACCCCTCCCGCACGCCGCCTTTCCGCCATGCGGCCTCCGCAATTAACCTGACGCCTGCTGCTCGATCAACCTGACGCCCCGCTCCTTAGCGCGCGACGCGATTAGTAGTCGAGACAGGGCGATTACCCTGCCTGACACTAGCTTGGTTGGCAATCGCACTGATAATCGCCTAGCATTGCCTAAGCAGCAAAAGGTGAGGCATACGGACAAAAGGTACTTTAGGACCAATGCAACAGTGATAAAAAGGTACTGTAGAGTACTTTAGGACCTCCAGGCTTGAATGTGTTTTTGGGTTGCGTAGCAACCTTTTATAATCGGTCGGTGGACCGATTGTGGTGGACAGATATTTCATTACATATTATTCTATTCTAAATCTTAACGAGATAATAACCCATATCATTTTTGGTTTCTAAATTTTATCGATATAATAACTCATATCATTTTTTGTTTTTCTAAATCTTATCGAGATCATAACCCATATCATTTTTTAGGGTCTAATGCATCCTTTATTCTAAAGATTTGTATTACATTATTTCTATTTATTAGTATTAGTATTATTTATTCCCACATACATATTCCTGTTATTGTTGTTGTTTGTAGTTTCTAGTGTATATATTTGTCATGTTTTCTCTCTTTGTCTTATTATTATCATTATTACCACTACTATTGTTGCTATTACTATTGTCATATTTTTTTTCTTCTATTCTTCTACTTTTCTATCCATTATTATTATTATACTACTATTGTTAGACTTAGCTAACCATTTTATCGTGCAAGACAAAAATCCATGCTATTCTATTTGATATGTCGGCGATACTCATACCGACATAAAAATAGAAGAATAGCATAGAGATTTGGGACAACTATCTAAGCTACCTATGAATGATGAGAGTCTCAAATCATTCGCCGTCGATAATTACGGCGGAGAATGATAGAGATACTACATTACAACAGCACACAATACATTATGGCAAACAAATATTACGAAACAGTAGTGAATGCAACGTAGCAAACGTATCAATGCTTTTGTGTTGACATGCGCGTTATGGGAAGAATATCCCAAACTGGCAACGACAATCGCAATTTGTACTGTGCACTAGGCATACGCTGCGTCGTCTCACTGCACCCACAACAAAATGCACTCTTTTAATAACGCATGCCATCGAGCACATTACATAGCAAAATATTACGGGTAGGAAAACGAACGCATCAATGCTTTCGTGCTGCAATAGAGACTGACATGCACGTTATGGGAAGCGAGTCCCCAGACCGGCAACGACAATCGCAAATTGTGCACCGCACTAGGCATAGTCAGCATCGTTTCCACGGGGACAATACAATACAACTAGGTATGTGCAGGACTAGGCTAGCGCGGCTCCCGAAATGCTGTGGGGGGGAATGCTACGCATAGCTCTGTTTTGTGAACAAAACGATTGTCTAGCAGTCCCAAATTACAAGCAACTGTTCTCCCCCTTGGCCAGTTCCCCTTGGCCAGTTCTTCCTGTGGTTGCATTTTGTGTTGCTGGGTTCGCGAAAACCGTCTTTCCACATCGTCCAATCAGACGCCTCCCTTTTCCACCCCCCCCCCTCCAACTTGTTCACTGTTCCCAAAATTGTACAGGGTAACCATCAAAATTGCACAGGGTAATATGGGACTTGAGCTGTAAGAAATTAGTAATTCCTTACTGAGGCTTGCTACAGGGCGTACGACTCGAACAGTCCCGAACCAGCGATAGGGTTCCTGAACTTTCAGTTCGAGCCTCCTGGGCTTTTCCGGACCTCAATTCGACACATCGAGGCCCTTCGACACCTTTCCCGAACCTTCCAATCCTACGTCCAAGATCACCCTAGTTTTCCTATATATTGTGTTGTCTTTTATTTTGGGGAAAGTATACCGGCGCTCAATATTAGGGGCCTCGGTAACATGTACGGTTAGCGAGTTTGTAACATGTTTAATCAGTCGAGTTCCATCGTTAGTCAGAAACTGCAGGAAAAAAGTTCCACGAATGGTCAGTAAAAGTAACCCACGGCCGTCGAGGAACGTTTTCCCGCTCGCGCCAGCCCAATTTCGTCATCATTGCGGCTGGCGCGATATTTTTCCCGAGCTCCATGCGCAGTTCGAGCGAAAAAACGCAAAATGCCCAAATTAAAGTTCATTTGAAATTTGTCAGTCGAGAAACACGAAAAACAATTTTTTTTCGAAGCACATACTTTCGCCATAGAGGGTAGCGCATCCCGCGATGACTAAAAATGGTGGCTTTGTCTCTACCGGATTTACAGCCCCAAAGAAAATTCAAGCCATAAACTTGTTGTCATTCCCGAGTCGCCCGAAAACAATAACATATATAGATAGCTACGGAGGTTTATTTTTGCGAAATGAATATGTTTAAAAGCGCGTCAAAGTACTCTCAGAATCGCATTTAATTTTGTATTAATTTCAATAAAACAAATCTATTAGAAGGCTGGCGGTTGTCTTTTTTATTTTTCCAACAAATGTATTTACCGGAAAACAATTCTGCCGAATCACGACTCTACAAGACTTGTCATGCTCGAAACAAATTAGCGCATACGCAATACGGTTTAATATTCAAGCTCCATTGGCTTAGCGTGAAAACTTTCCTCGACGGCCGGGGGTTACTTCTACTGACCATTCGTGGAACTTTTTTCCTGCAGTTTCTAACTAACGATGGAACTCGACTGATTAAAGCGAGGGGCTAAAATAGTGAAGGCGGGTCCAGCTTGAAACCAAGGGAGCCTCGATTTTTTCTAAGGGGTTCTCATTCGGCAGAATCAGGGCAGTTCCACAACGCAACCGCGCTGCTCAGAGCAAACAAGTGAGAGCGCACGATTGGCTGGGAAATTTCTAGAACAGGGTTTGCGAGCTGTCACAGGTCGCAAGTATTTGTACGACCCCATTGCCTCGTCATTCTCCAAGTGGGCCCAACTTGAATTTCAAGTTGGACCCAGGTTTACTACTCATGCAAGAACACAACTGGTTTTTTATTGGTCGAAATTTCTCCCCACCTAGAGCTACCAATTAAGGCGTGTTTACTTCTACTACCCGCCCACCACAGTTTTCCCATTGCGTGTCCACTCTTCTTAGTTTGACTGAACCACAACCAATCGAGGTCGACAAAGTAAAGTAATAAACGAGCCCCAACAAGGCATGCTAGCTTGTATTATGTTTATAAACACACCCCAGTCCATACATCCGAATTTGTCGCGCGGGTAGGTGATTTTGCTGCTGAGTGACTGCCCGCCCCGAAACGACGTTCTCTTTTGCCCGCTCGCTTGTCCCCCCTTTATCTGTTGGAGGGTCCCAATCAAGTTGGGCCCAACTAGAAAGATGGGTCACTATTATAACCTCTCGCTTTAAACATGTTACAAACTCGCCAATTCTGATTGTTTATATCGTGTCACTGACCGTAAATGTTATCTAGGGCCCTAATACTGAGCACCGGTATACTTTCCCTTCATTTTATTGTCATTCACTCAGTTCACAGTTTCGGAATTGCCCTCCGCGCAGTTCCATTCATAACATGGGCTTAAAGCCCAGGTCCCAAGTTACAAGCCGCAAAAAGAGAGCGCGGCTTGGGTTGGGGCTAGTGGCTTGCGATTGGCTGCGGGAATGCCGAGAGCTCAAAGTCTGGAAATCGGTTTGCGAAACTCGCAGATGCAAATTTGAAGTTCGCTAACCAAAACTCCAACGAGGTTGGGGAAGGAAAACAAGTGAAGCACAACAGATGGTCGACAGCAACACAGCAGCACACGAACTAAGCTAACGCGTTACAGCATCAACCAGCCACAACACAGCGGCAAACACGCAGAGGGCATTTCCGCAGCCCATACGCATGTAATATCGAGACTTCTGGTAGCGTGGTGTTCTTTTTTTGCCAGAAAATCAGAGTAGGCTCGCACCCAGTCTATTTCTCCGTGGATATCAATAAATTATCGTGCGTAGGCCTTCTATCGGTGGATATCTTTTGCGCAAGTCTAATATCAGTGGATCGCAAAATGGCTCGCCATTCGAGTTAAGCGTACGCGTTCACCTAGGCGTAGCGGGGATATGTGAGAGCAAACGTAAAGTCGGCTAGCAATGGCGCTGAAAATAGAGCGAGAGGCAGCGCTACTCCAGTTAGGCCATTTTACCAATAGAAACGACCGTCCAGAGGCATATCCGCGACGCATCCATGACCGACGGCGCAGGGCGAGAGAGAGGGGGGTGCAGAGCTAGTGAGAGGGATGCAGAGCGAGTGGGAGGGGGAGCAGAGCAGTGCTTGCTGAGCTTACTCCGAGAGAGAGAGAGAGAGAGAGAGAGAGAGAGAGAGAGAGAGAGAGAGAGAGAGAGAGAGAGAGAGAGAGAGAGAGAGAGAGAGAGAGAAGAGAGATGAATAGAGAGAAAGAGAAGGAGAAAGAGAGGGCGAGAGGGAGAATGATAGGGAGAGAGAGCGAGAGAGAGAGAGAGAGAGAGAGAGAGAGAGAGAGAGAGAGAGAGAGAGAGAGAGAGAGAGAGAGAGGGAATGAAGCGAGAGAGAGTAAGGGAGGCAGATAAAGAGAGCCAGAGAGAGGAAGAGGGTGCGGCTACGGAGAGGGTTGGGACAGAGTCGGGTGGAGTGAGCGGGTGGAGAGAGCGGACAAGGGTGCGGATGTGAGAGGGCATGGGGTCCCAGGCAGAGAGGTCAAGCAACCAGGATGAGGGCAGAGGGAGAGGTCACTTGGAGGAGATATAGAATGGGTGGTGGTAATATGTATCTAGGTGTCCAGTTCTTCCTCCCAGTGTGCTTTCCCCCTGCATTCTTCCTCCCAGTGTGCTTTCCCCCTGCATTCTTCCTCCCTGTGTGCTTTCCCCCTGCATCCTTCCTCCCAGTGTGCTTTCCCCCTGCATTCTTCCTCCCAGTGTGCTTTCCCCCTTTATTCTTCCTCCCAGTGTGCTTTCCCCCTGCATTCTTCCTCCCAGTGTGCTTTCCCCCTACATTCTTCCTCCCAGTGTGCTTTCCCCATGCATTCTTCCTCCCAGTGTGCTTTCCCCCTGCATTCTTCCTCCCAGTGTGCTTTCCCCCTGCATTCTTCCTCCCAGTGTGCTTTCCCTCTGCATTCTTCCTCCCAGTGTGCTTTCCCCCTGCATTTTCATGTATTCCGCTCAGTCTAGCCCTCCAATGCTGGGGACCTAGCTCCACTGACGTCCCAACCATCTCGCTTCGCGCAGCATCCCGCTCCCCACTGCTCACTGCTGCCCTAATCCCCTTCGACGCCCACTCGTCCTAATTCCCACTTCCCGCGCTTGCGGCTCGCGGCTTGCAGCAGGTGCTCGTTACTCGCTTTCCACCGCAGACGCCGTCGGCACTGGTTGGCTGCAAATCGGGACCCGATTCCCGCTACTTCCCGCTTCGCGCGGCCCGCGCAACCCGCTGAGCCCGCATCGCCCACCTGCCTGCGGTCACGTGACACGGGCTGGGAGGAAGAGAGGCGATAGAGCAGGGGGGGAAAGAGGCGATAGAGCAGAGAGGAAGAGAGGCGATAGAGCAAGGAGAAAGAGAGGCGATAGAGCAGGGAGGAAGAGAGGCGATAGAGCAGGGAGGAAGAGAGGCGATAGAGCAGGGAGGAAGAGAGGCGATAGAGCAGGGAGGAAGAGAGGCAATAGAGCAGGGAGGAAGTGAGGCGATAGAGCAGGGGGGAAGAGAGGCGATAGAGCAGGGAGGAAGAGACGCGATAGAGCAGGGGGGAAGAGACACGATAGAGCAGGGAGGAATAGAGGCGATAGAGCAGGGAGGAAGAGAGGCGATAGTGCAGGGAGGAAGAGAGGCGATAGAGCAGGGAGGAAGAGAGGCGATATAGTAGGGGGGAAGAGAGGCGATAGTACAAGGAGGAAGAGAGGCGATAGAGCAGGGAGGAAGGCCGCCACACAAATTGTGGTGGCCAGCAAGAAGAGGCCTACTAGACCCACCACCTCGACATCTCGCACCGATCCCCCCCCTCGTAGTAGGGGTGAAGATGCACTTACTTGGAATACGTGGCGTCGGGATGGCGACGGTTGATGCTTTTACTGCCGCGAACCGGGTCATGGTTTTAAAGATTGTCATCGACGAGGCCAAGGGGCCAACCGGCTGTCTAAGATTGTCTAGAGGCTTTGATGGCCGCTTCTTTGTAAAACCTTGACGCTATAAATCTATTATTACATGCTAAAGATTGATGGTGTGCCAAATGGTGATCGAGCACGCGGCTCAAACCCGCTTCGAATGTAACACGGCCATACACTCTTCAACATTTGCTTGCAACAAAAAAGGTGAGGGGGGGGGGGGGGGGGGGGGGGGGGAGGGGGGGTAAGCGAGAGAACGGCAGAAGTGCCGAAAAAAAGAGGCAATCAATAAGGTACAAAACGCATGTGGAACATTGGAACACACACCGTGACACCGATGAAAGCATGACAAAAGATTGTAACATGCAGTTGGTGCGCACACTGCGAAAAGTGTTGCCTTCGTCATTGCTTACGCTTCGACTATTTCGAACACACTTCTCACGCCACGAATGCTTTGGCAAACGTATTTGTACTGTCGGGAAAGAAAACTTACATCTGGCCCTGACTGGTCCTTAATTGTACTTGTTCGCCACCGCCCTACACCAAAGTTTGTCTCATTCGTTCCCCCATCGGAGCCACTCACATGCATCAGCTCGCTGAACGTAGTCGTCCAACCTTCCAAAAAGAGGCTCATATTGGACCTTCGCCACGTGAATCCGTTTCTTTCTGTCCCTCATTTTCGCTACGAGGGCATAAATCGGGTGCCTGACTTGGTGCAGCAGTACGATTGGCTATTTACTATCGATCTAAAATCGGGCTACCACCACGTGGATATCCATCCCTTGTATTGGCGCTTTCTCGGTTTTACACTCCAAGGGCAGCGCTATTAGTTTCTATCATTGCATTTTGGTCTAGCTACTGCGCCATTCGTTTTTACTCAGGTGATCAAGTAGCTCGCAAAACGTTGGCGCGGATGCGGCATCCGACTTATGCCATACGTCGATGACATTTTGTTCATCAACGCTACTCGAGCCGAGGCCCTTCGTCACCATGCCGTAATTTTAGTAGATCTTCAGTCAGCTGGCTTCGCTGTCAACTTTAAGAAATCGCAACTCGAACTTCACCGTGACCTAAGTTTTTGGGTCTCGTGCTGGACACTTGCACCACGTCTTTCTCCGTCGATGCCGGCAAACGCGAGCGACTCATCAGCGAACGTGAGCAGACATGTGCACTTAGCGCGCAAGGGCGGCATATCCTGGTCCGTCGGGCTGCTCGCATCACTGGCTTGCTGGCCTCTATGGCGCTCGCGCTTGGCACGGTCGCGCGTGCTTTCTCCCACAATCTTCTTTCTCATATCTCTGAGTGTCACTCTTGGGGGCGTCAATTCTCTTGACACCCGACTCCCTCGACGAGTTGCGTTTTTGGCTCACCCAGTTCGATGTCTTCAACAGCCCGCGCTTCCACAATCCTCATCTCTACGACGTCGTAATCTATGTGGATGACAGTGATCGCGCATGGGGGGCGTGTTTTTCAGCGCCGGATGATCATGCCGGTTCGCATGCTTCACCACTTCCTCAGGCCCTCGTCTCTTTGTCCAGCACGCTCCGCGTACTTGCTGGCATCTTTTGGACACTGTCAACCTTTCTTGACGAAGTCCGACGCTCGCACGTCCTGCTCCGCAACGACAGCCAAGCGACCTATTACATTATGAAGGAAGGGGGTTCCCCCCGGCTTGAGTTGACTCTTATATGCCGAGCCATTATCCACCTTTGCGTGCGCCACCGAATTCGGCTCACAGTCGACTGGATCTCGCGCACCCTTAATACAGAAGCCGATGTGCTTTCCAACTTAGATCTTCTCGACGATTACTCTTTCGCATGACCTTGGTTCCTTCTGCTAGAGAGGCGTTGGGGTACTATTGATTTGTTCGCTTCCCCTGCTAATGCGCAGCTGGCTCGTTTTTGCTCGCTCGAGCTCTCTCACGCGGCAGTCCCGTAGGATGCGTTTTCTCTTAGTTGGTCGGGCGACAACTACTATGCCTGTCCTCCCCCACCCTTGATCTCCGCTGTCATGGCCCACGCCCGCCGCTCATGCACCTCGCTCACCCTTGTAATCCCGCATTGGCCTAGTGCCTCTTGGTGGCCACTGTTATGCCCAGACGGCTCCTCTTGGGCCCCTGCTATGGTCGCAACCATTCGCCTTGCTCCTGGCTCTAGTTCCTTGCGCATTGGTAGTGACCATCGTGCCTTTAGCGGCTCAGGTCTCCCGAAATCATTGATGTATGCGCTTCGCTTGCTTTTCACTAATACGTAGCGCTGTGCCTCTGTGCAGATTCCTACATCGGGCGCCTACTTTTGGATCTTTTGACGCTCACAGTCGATCTTCGTGCACAGTCTACTCTTCGTACATACGAGCCCTACTGGCGACAGTATCGAGCCTTCTGTACCGAGCACTCGGTTCGTTTTCTTCCTGCCAGCGACCTTACGGCACCACTATTTCTGTTGCACTCGATCCGCAGTGGTGCCACCGTTTCAGTAGTGCAATCCGCATGTTCCGCCATCTCAAGTGCCCATTGGCTGGTCGGCCTTCCTTCTCCTATTCGCAGTCCGTTATCTTCCCAAGTGAAAGAGTAGGCGCAACGCCACTGCGGCAGGCCCGCTCTGGCTAAGGAGCCGATACTACCCGAGAAAATCTACGATATCTGTGACGTCTACTTCGTGTCGTCCGATCCCGCAATCATCCAGAAGGGGCTGATCCTGCTCCTCATACTTGCAGTCTTTCTGCGCTTCTCTGATCTGATATCCCTCCAGTGGCACCAGATTGAGTTTGACCGGGACTATATGTGGTTGTTCATTCCCCGCTCTAAGACCGATCAAACGGGTACTAGTGCATGGATTCTTGTGGCTGCCTCCTCCGCTCGCCACTGCCCCGTCTCTCGCGTCCAACAATTCCTATTCCTTGCGGGGTACTCTGCCCAGTCTCTCGGCCCCCTCATCCGTGTGTTTCAGCCGGGCTCTCGAGCTTCCCCTTCCGATCGCTCCCCTTCGTATGCCACCATTCGGAGTTGGTGCCAAGATTCCTTCTCCCGGGTCGGACTCAATCCTGATGTCCTTGGCACACACTCGTTTCGCAAGTCCGTGGCCACCACGGCCGTTGATGTTGGTGTTCCTGATCGGCTCTTTAAGGCCCTCGGCCGCTGGCGCAACGACACGGCTAAGGAGCGTTATGTCACCCAGCTCGATTTCGAGCTTATCGCTGTCTCACGCACCCTTCAGGACCCTCTCCGCTCCAGTCCGACTGCTCGATATGCAGCCACGCTTGAGCGTCACCGCCACCGACCCCCTCCCTGATGTCTCGTTTGACTTAGGTATGACGACTGCACTGCACACTCCTCTGAAGGTCGTGTCACAATCCAATTGGTCTGGTCAGCAATCTTCCTACATCGGCCAACACTCTCTGATCTGAAGCGCGCCAAAGACGAAACTGATGGTAAGCGCCACAGAAGCGCGTGAAATAGAACATATACTGTGTGGAAGATTTCGGTTCAACAGAAAACTTTAAGGGAACCCTGACAATTCGACGTATCTTTGGGGTGGTGATGCAATCACACGCTGAGCGCAAGTGTTGGTGCTGAGCTGAAGCGCTGCTCTTACACTGACACAGCTTTAACTCCTTCACAGTGTATTCCTTCCTCATCTCCTCTCTGTCCAGGGGAAGATTCCAGAATTCCCCCACCTGAATCGTACTGCAAACCGTAAAGTCCCCAGGTGCTTCCTCAGGTGCCTCCACCGCCTTCCTCTCCTCCTCTGGAAACCCCTCTCAGCCTGAGGGTTTTCCTGAACCTTCCGAGCCTGGGCCGGCTGCAGGTTCCGGCACGGAACCGAGCCTGAGCAGCAGGTCCGGAAGGTCGTGGAACGGGTGCGGGAAAGCCAGGTCTGGCTTTCTCTGCTTCAATCCTGCGCAGTAGGAAGAAGGGTTGACCCTCGGTCCGAGGATTCGCACCCACCCACAGCAGCTGTAGGAGGCAGGAGGCAGGTGACTCACTCTCACTCCCACTGCCATCCCTGTCAGTACCTCCTCCGCCTCTTGCTCTCTCGTCCGGCCTTCCACGCCTCGGCAAACTCTCTCACAACTCTCCTGAACTGGAAGCACGTTCTTTCCGCCATCTCCGCCACGAGGCCCTCAAACTCCGCACACGCACTCACCACCCACTCCTAGGTCATCCCTTGGAAATCCGCAAATGCACTCTCCACCGCCTCCTCCATCGCTGCACTCAGGCACTCGGCAGCCATACGGCCTGCCCTGCCACTCATGCAGTCTGCCCTGCCCTGCCCAGCCATACAGTCTGCATTGGGGGGGGGCGATCCCCACCTCCCTCTCCCCCCTGCTGGCTCACTCTCCACCGCCTCCTCCATCGCTGCACCCAGGCTCTCGGCAGCCATACAGCCAGTCCTGCCACCAGGTCTGCATTGACATCCATACGGCCTGCACTGCCCCTGCCCTTGTCATTACCTCCTCCTCCTCTTGTTCTCCTGCCCGGCCATCCATGCCTCTGCAACCTCTCTCACATCTCTCCTGAACTGGAAGCACGCCAAGTGGGATCCCCATGCTGAGGTATATTACCCCAAATCCACTCACACTCCCTGCCCCTGTCAATACCTCCTCCTCCTCTTGTTCTCCTGCCCGGCCAGCCACGCCTCGGCAAACTCTCTCACATCTCTCCTGAACTGGAAGAACACTCTTTCCGCCATCTCTGCCACGAGGCCCTCAAACTCCGCACATGCGCTCTCCACTGCCTCCTTCATCACATCACTAAGGCTCTCAGCACCCAGGCTCCCAGCACCGAGGCTCTCAGCACCCATCAGGTGTGCATTGGCAGCCATACAGTCATCCACACTTCCAGCCATGTAATCTTCCCTTCCAGGCATCAGGCGTGCACTGCCAGACTCGGGATCTGCTGCAAACGAGCCCCTCTCTCGTCGCCACGCCCATCCCCGCCTGCCCCTCCACCCAGATGACCCTCCACCAGGTGCTGCTGCCGCCCGCCTCCCTGCTTGAGGCGCCTCATAAATCCCACCAGCTGCTGCTGCTGCTGCTGCTGCCACCCGCCTCTGTTCCTGAGCAGAAAAGGGCGACACCCGACTGCCGTTTTGAGCAGCAGGAGGAGAGGCCAGCCTGTCGCCTGGAGCAGCAGAAGGGGCGGACATACACCTCTTATTCTGAGCAGAGGGGGGAGGCATCGGCTCGTCGCCCCGAGCAGCAGACCGGGGGGGCATGCGCCTTCCATTGTGCGCAGAAGCGGGGGGCATCGGCCTCTCGCCTCGAGCAGAGGGGGGGTTGGTGGCGGCCCGCAGCGACTGCAAATAGCTTGATCCAGACTCGTTAGCTGCTACAGGTGCTACAGGTGCTACAGGTGCTACCAGTGCTACAGGTGATACAGCTGCTACAGGTGCTACAGGTGCTACAGCAGGGACTGCAGGGACGACAGGGAGGGGAGTGGAGACTGCTGATGCTGCTGCAGTAGCTGCTGCTGCTGCTGCTGGTCTTGGACCTGCTACGGATGCTGCTAAACTGGTAGAGCCAGCAGCTGTGAATGCGCCAGCAGCTGCCGATGGTGCTGCAGCCGTTTGGGATCGCGCAGCAGCTGTGGTCGGTGCAGCAGCTGTGATCGGTGCAGCAGCTGTGATCGGTGCAGCAGCTGTGATCGGTGCAGCAGCTGTGATCGGTGCAGCAGCTGTGATCGGTGCAGCAGGTGTAGATGGTGCATACACTGCTGATGACATTCGAGCGGTGGAGGATGTTGGAGCCACATACTGCAGCGTGCTGGGGTCTGCTGCAGTGGGCAGGCTTGGCAGAGCTGGGAATGCATAGGCTGGAGTGTCGTTCAATAGAAGCAAGTCATTGTCGCTTGTGGTGCCTAGTGCCAGCTCATCCTCTCCTGCTGCTGCTGCTGCTTCTCCTCCTCCTGATCCTGCTGCTGCTGCTGCCAAATGACCTGCATATGGAAGACATGGGATAGGGGGCAGGGGATATGAGTTTCGATCTCTTCCTTTGCTGCTGCTGCTATATGACCTGGCCTGCAAATGGAAGACATGGGATAGGGGGGGGGGATATGAGTTTCGATCTCTTCCTTTGCTGCTGCTGCCGCTGCTGCTGCTGCTGCTGCTGGTATATGACCTAGCCTGCGAATGGAAGACATGGGATAGGGGGCAGGGGACATGAGTTCAACGATCTATCGCGAGTCAGGGCACAACTGAGAAGACTTTTGAGTCGACTCAAAAGTCAACTGAGAAGCTTCCATTAACGCTTTTCAGAACAGAAAGGCATTCCCCCCCCCCTCCCCAGCAAAACAGGCACAATAGAGAAGTCTCCTAACAACACTAGAGCTCCCCACCCCCCCACCCCGCCTCCCCCCCCCTCTCCCCGGCAACGGACCACTCTCATCAACCTCTTGATCGTACCTCTCAAGCTCGACGCCAGCACTTGGCGAGCCTCTGGCCGCCAGTTGCGCACGTCCCTTTCCATCACCGGACCCATCAGCACATACCACTCCGGCAACGGGTCCGGCCGTCTACCGGCCCGACTGACGGCCGACCGTTCCAGCCGGTCCTGCAGCCGGTAGAACTTATCCTTCATGCGCTGGTGCTTCGACTTCACCGCAGCCTGCGAGTGGCGGAAATCGGGGTGCTTCTGTAAGAGCAGGAAGTGGAGGTCTTTATAGTAGTTGGTGCCGTGGACGACCCCGTGGATCGAGCGTCTGACGTCGTATTCGCGCTCGAGCTCCACGAACGTCCGAACGAGCTGCATCACCTCGGAGTCCGACCAGTGCGGTCGCACGCCGTTGATCACTCTGCGATCGTCGGCTCTGCTGCGATCGTCGGCTCTGCTGCGATCGTCGGCTCTGCTGCGATCGTCTGCTCTGCTGCGATCGTCGGCTCTGCTGCGATCGTCTGCTCTGCGACGGCCATCTTTTCTGCGACAGTCGACAGCCGTTCCGGTTGAAACACCGAGGTCCGTGCCATCGATATCGTCATCGTCGTCAGCCGCGGTGGCCTCATGATCATATCGCGATACTAGGATGGGAACGTCCTGGACTCCCGTTGGGAAACTAGGGCTTGGGGACCGCGAGTCAAATTCGGCCTCCATAGTTCGGTCAGAGCGGGATCGCCTTTCTTCGCAACACAGCTGCCTCGGAGGAGGAACGCTCGAATGCTCGACCTTCCTAACCAGGCGTTTGGGAGAATCGATTTCGGTCGCAACCCCCATGACTAGGTGAGCGTTGCTCACGGTTCCGAACCGAATACCTCGCGCTGTGGAATATCTGAGGATTGTTGGCAAATGCAGATGGAAAAGTTTCTTCGTGCGCTAGAACGATTTAGTGCGGTTGAATAAAGGTATTAGGGAATACAATAGGATGGAGGATGTGGCGAGTGTTGTATTGGTTCGAGGAATCGAAACTTGAATTGGCAGAAAAAACACGATGTACCGTTACAGAAAAGGAAGTGGTACATATAGCCCGTTCAGCTGAAATCGATCTGGGTCTGGAACATTCTGAAAGGTGGGAGGAGGACTTAGTGCGGTACAGTTAGTATTTTCAGTGGTTCAAAGCAGAACTCAGCAGTCCTCCAGCGAACCAGACTTCAATCACTGCGTCCTAAGTCGATTCACCTCACGAATCTCTCGAACCCGAGGTTCGACTGTACTTGTCGAAAATGCACGAAGTAGGGAGCGGACAGTTCAACATTGTGCGTGGGTAGATCGTCCCCTGTCCAAAACGCACCGCGTGTCGGCATTTCTGGCGATTGGGATGTGGTGAGTGGTTGGCTATTGCTGGTAACCAGACCCGGCACAGTCTCTCGACAAACCGTGGCGAGAGTCGAAACGCGAAACAGTCGCGAGTGACTCATTTATTCGCGGCAGCTGTTCGCAACTGTGCATCTTACCCTTTGCCGACTAAGACTAGAATTGCTACTGTTAGCCGACTAACGCCAGAAACGCTACTCTCAGCCCGACTTAGGTCGCAAACTCAAGCACCTCGTGCCGCATGCGCTAACGGATCACTATCGTCCTGCTCCGACTGCTCAGAGTGCTCAGACTGCTCCGACTGCTATTGCTCATACTTCTCAGGTTGCTCCAACTGCTCAGACTGCTCAGACTAAATCATGCAGATTAAGTCCGAGGCCGCGACGCCTACTACTAGAAATCCCCAAACCCCAGTCGAGGAACGTGCGGTGGAGTTCGCTTTATCTGATCAGGCGACGCCTGAACTGGATTTATCAGAAAATGCCGACGTCGCACCTTCTAGCGAAGCAGCAGCAGCAGGAGCAGGAGCACCTGGCGGAGCTAACCCTAGCTCATACCCCCCTCGCTCCTCCCTCCAGCCGCCGCCATTTACGCATCGGCTAAACAACGAGGCCGAGGGCTGCGCTCCGTCAGGCGAAACGGCAGCAGGACATGGCGGAACTTACAGGGGGGGAGCTTATAGCGGGGCAGATCCTGGCTCCGAACCCCTTCCCTCATCGCCGCTGCAGGAATTTTAATACAGCCCATCTTCAGGCACCAAGGTATTGGTCGGACGCCGAGGTCCGGCAGCTCCTAGCGTCCAATACAACCCATCTACAACCCACCTCCGAACCACTTCAGGCACCAACGTATTGGTCCGACACGGAGGTTCGGCAGCTCCTCGAGGCTCACGCGGAGCTCGACCCTGAGCTCGGCGCCGTACGCAGTATAAGAGGCTCCAATGCCGTACGCGGTATAAGAGGCTCCAATTACTACCGGGAGCTGCGTCACCTGCTGCTGCTGCGCCACCCCGGCTTCCGCCACTCACAGGACGCGATCAAATCCAAGATCCAACGGCTGAAAGGGACTTACGAGAAGCTGCGGGACTTGCTGGAACAGACGGACCAGATGGAACAATCTGGCTGTTCGAGCTTGGCGGCTCGAATTCGAACGGCTCAGATTCCCGAGTGGTTTGTGTTGTTGGATCCTGTGATGTCACGGAGCCAGGGCCGTACCTCCACTCTCCTGCTGAACTCCGCTCGAGCCATAGCAGCAGCAGCAGCAGCAGCAGGCACAGCAGCAGCAGCAGTGACTTCTCTGGGACGTGGCCTGTTAAACCAGTCGTCGCAGCCGCTGCGCTCCACTGCATCTCCCCCTTCTGCTCCACGCGACCGGCTGCTTTCTCCCTCCACTCGAAGTGACAGGCCTGATGGGGCAGCGGGCAGGCAGATGGCTGGGCCTGATGGGGCAGGGGGTAGGCAGATGGCTGGGCCTGATGGGGCAGGGGGTAGGCAGATGGCTGGGCCTGATGGGGCAGCGGGCAGGCAGATGGCTGGGCCTGATGGGGCAGCGGGCAGGCAGATGGCTGGGCCTGATGGGCAGCGGGCAGGCAGATGGCTGGCCTGATGGGGCAGCGGGCAGGCAGATGGCTGGGCCTGATGGGGCAGCGGGCAGGCAGATGGCTGGGCCTGATGGGGCAGCGGGCAGGCAGATGGCTGGGCCTGATGGGGCAGCGGGCAGGCAGATGGCTGGGCCTGATGGGGCAGCGGGCAGGCAGATGGCTGGGCCTGATGGGGCAGCGGGCAGGCAGATGGCTGGGCCTGATGGGGCAGCGGGCAGGCAGATGGCTGGGCCTGATGGGGCAGCGGGCAGGCAGATGGCTGGGCCTGATGGGGCAGCGGGCAGGCAGATGGCTGGGCCTGATGGGGCAGCGGGCAGGCAGATGGCTGGGCCTGATGGGGCAGCGGGCAGGCAGATGGCTGGGCCTGATGGGGCAGCGGGCAGGCAGATGGCTGGGCCTGATGGGGCAGCGGGCAGGCAGATGGCTGGGCCTGATGGGGCAGCGGGCAGGCAGATGGCTGGGCCTGATGGGGCAGCGGGCAGGCAGATGGCTGGGCCTGATGGGGCAGCGGGCAGGCAGATGGCTGGGCCTGATGGGGCAGCGGGCAGGCAGATGGCTGGGCCTGATGGGGCAGCGGGCAGGCAGATGGCTGGGCCTGATGGGGCAGCGGGCAGGCAGATGGCTGGGCCTGATGGGGCAGCGGGCAGGCAGATGGCTGGGCCTGATGGGGCAGCGGGCAGGCAGATGGCTGGGCCTGATGGGGGCAGCGGGCAGGCAGATGGCTGGGCCTGATGGGGCAGCGGGCAGGCAGATGGCTGGGCCTGATGGGGCAGCGGGCAGGCAGATGGCTGGGCCTGATGGGGCAGCGGGCAGGCAGATGGCTGGGCCTGATGGGGCAGCGGGCAGGCAGATGGCTGGGCCTGATGGGGCAGCGGGCAGGCAGATGGCTGGGCCTGATGGGGCAGCGGGCAGGCAGATGGCTGGGCCTGATGGGGCAGCGGGCAGGCAGATGGCTGGGCCTGATGGGGCAGCGGGCAGGCAGATGGCTGGGCCTGATGGGGCAGCGGGCAGGCAGATGGCTGGGCCTGATGGGGCAGCGGGCAGGCAGATGGCTGGGCCTGATGGGGCAGCGGGCAGGCAGATGGCTGGGCCTGATGGGGCAGCGGGCAGGCAGATGGCTGGGCCTGATGGGGCAGCGGGCAGGCAGATGGCTGGGCCTGATGGGGCAGCGGGCAGGCAGATGGCTGGGCCTGATGGGGCAGCGGGCAGGCAGATGGCTGGGCCTGATGGGGCAGGGGGCAGGCAGATGGCTGGGCCTGATGGGGCAGCGGGCAGGCAGATGGCTGGGCCTGATGGGGCAGCGGGCTGGCAGATGGCTGGGCCTGATGGGGCAGCGGGCTGGCAGGTGGCTGGACCTGATGAATCTCGTGGGTCTCATGGGCGTGCTGGGTCTGGTGGGCCAGCGGGCAGGCCGATAGCCAGGCCTGATGGGGCAGCGGGCTGGCAGATGGCTGGGCCTGGCGGGCTGGCTGGTTGGGGAAGGAAGCGGGACTTCGCATGGCGTGGGAGGGAGATGGCAGCCCTTTCACCAGCGAAGGCAGGCAATGTTTTGAGGGCAGACAGTGTTATGAAGGCAGACGATGCTATGAGGGCAGATGAGCTGAGTGCGGCAGTGGTGGAGGAGGCTTGTGCTGAGTTCGAGGATGTCATGCAGGACTGGGCTGAGAGTGTTTGCGCCGAGTTTGAGGAATCCGTTGCGGGGCTTGCTAAAGCGGCTTGCTTCCAGTTCAACAGGCTTACTCGGGCTTTCGCCGAGTCTTGGAAGGCTGGAAGAGGAACCACCAAGAGGCGTCGGCAGTAACACTGCACTGGAATTTTGTGCTGCCAGGGACTGTCTTGTGTGTAAGTAGTTTCTTTTTGAGTCGACTCAAAACGAAAGTACTTACACACGGATTGTCAACTGCACTGGTAGGTATTTTGTTCAGGCAGGGACTGGCCGATGGGAATGATGGTATGGTAGTGATGAAGATAGGCGGAGGCCTACCTCCCCTGCATCTTTCGTGTAACGATGTATTTATGTTCCTTTCCCCCCTATGAAATCTTGAAGACGTATCCGTCCGACCAGTGGAGTGGATCCACTGATCTGGAGCTTGATGTCATTTTGCTTGTTGGAAATACCTCAAGGACTTGAGCGTTTCTGAAGTGTAACACCACACTCGAGGAAGGTCGTAACGGGTACGCGAGTCAACGGAGGTTACACGAGGGGGTGGAGAAACAACACGAAAGGACTCGAAGGGTCGCAACTGGAGGTTGCGATTGACAGTTACAACTGCAAAGATGGTAACCGAAGCGACAATCGAGTCGCTGTGCGACTCGATAACCGCTCTTTCAACTGTATTCTACAACTGCTCTACTTTCCTACTTTCTATATATTGCTGTATGTTTGTTCTTTTAATCAATCACTTGTTCTCATATACCAGTACAAGGGTTCAACTACTCAACTTCCGCTGCACTACTCAAGTCTTCTTTTACAACTGGACTTAGTCTCTGGAAAGATCCTAAGGGCTTTTCTCAGCCCAACATGGTATGAGAGCTGGTCAGAGACCAAACTCCCAGTAACTACGCTCTATCCACAATCAGCACACCGACGACTTCATTGATTACAAGTCATGGACAGCAAGGGCAAGAAAACCTCTACGAGCTCACCCAGTGCCCAAGACACTCAACCCGGCAACTCTGGACTCCACACTTCAAGACTGCAAACCGAGACCGGCGCTACTCAAGAAACAACAGGAAGAGCACCAGAAATGGTGACCCCATCACCCTCCTCAAGCGTGGACCCGAACCTTATGGAAAGGTTCTTCAGCTTCATGTCGCACTTCGACCAGCAGCAGCAGATAATGACACCTGCGCATTCAACACAGAGCAACGGAGGAAACATGGGATTAGGGCCGATGAGCCTCGACAACTCATCGTTCGGGCGACACAATCAAGCACCTACCTTTGCGCCTTATCACTCTTCACCGGGGACGTTCGAGTTCATGCCGCCCCGTGCCCAACCAACAGCAGCTGCATCACAACAGACACCAAACGAGATTTTAAGTCTCCAGGGGCAATTTTCACACGTGATTAAACTACAGACATCCTCACCCTTCAACGGACACGACTTCTTTACCTGGAGCTTTGAGTTCGAGCTGCTGATGGAGGCTGCGCACCTCTTGGGATACTTCAACGGGTCCCTGCCATTTCCAAGCAATGGCACTGCAAAGGAGCAAGAAATATTTACTTATCAGTCGCTGCTGGCGTACACAGTTCTCCTGCGGAACCTGTCACCACAAGAACAGCAAAGCATCAGAACGTATCAGAGCTATGGAAACTCCGCGGAACTCGCATGGCATCACCTCAAGTGTCTCTATCAAGCAAACGACAGCGAGACACAAAGCAGACTCATGCAGCAGCTGACAACAATACAGATGAAGACCGGGGAAAAGGCGATGCAGTATATGAGTCGATGCCAGACACTCCGCAACCGCCTGCTTCGGTGCGGAGGAACAATCATTCAAGAAAGCTTCGTGACGCTTGTCCTCGCTGGGCTCGGGCCATAATGGAGAACCACCCGCTCGCTCCTTCGCGCCCACGGACGAATCTCGGAGATGCACCCATGCGCCGAGCTCCATGTTGAACAACAGGAGATGGACCTGTTCGAAGTAAGGCAACCAAGGAAACAGCAACCATTAGTATTCTACACTCAACGAAGGAACGACAACAACTACAACCGACGCGGCAAACAAGATCAACGCGACAACAGAGGACTCACCATTGTGCCGCCGTTCTGCCACAACTGCCAAACATCCGGACCCTCCAAAGTCAACTGTACACGTCCCCGAGCTTATCCTCCAGTATACCCACAAGTCGCTTCCACTGAAGAAAGCCCGCCGAGGCGCTCTTCCACATCTGCACAAAATACATTGAATATCATCAACTGCATGGTACGCATCGACAACTGCGCACCCGGATCACCGTCAACTTACGCTCCCGATGAAGAAGAACAGTCGCTGCCGCGCTCACAGGGACTTCAGGTCAACCCAACGTACGCTGCAGTCGCCAACTCCGAACCCACCGGACGCAACACTTGGTTCTTGGACAGCTGTTGCGGCCAACATATGTGTTCCTCCGGGTGCTTTGTGCAACGAGAACGACGTCTCAACCGAGACGTCATCATTACCGTCGCCAACAACGAGAACCTGAAAACAAACAGACAAGGAGTGGTTCAGTTATAGTCCATGGAGACAAACGTTATACTGCAACTCAACAAAGTTCTCATCGTCGACAATTTGGGATACAACTTACTCAGCGTCAGCCAGTTAATGGCAAAAAGGATTCACCTGGAGTGCGACTCAGACTCCAACGAATTTCGCCTTTACCACGAGAAGGGCGGTCTCTTCATCGGTCGCGTTCTCCTGAAGTCAGGTGTCTTCGTGTTGGATTTCGTCCCCGACTGCGGTACTGCCGAGAGCGATGGCATCGTGTCGTTCGCCGCCTGGACGCACCCGCCGGATCTTGACCCCGACTTCACCCCAGATGGATTCTGGTACTCCAAAACCATACCTGCAGCAGAGAGAACACGAGCGTTAGCAGTCATCAGACAAGAAATACAAGTACCAGCAAGCGTCCCTTCCCAAACATCACCTGCAGTAGCAGCAGCAGGACCCAGCCGAGTACCATTACCAGCGATCCGAGGACCGCCAACCGAAGCAGATCAACTTATGCCCATCACACGAGAAGTCTGCCAAAGTCCCGCCACGGTCGTCGCGTTCTTCTCCAACACCGACATGTATCAACGCTCGCCCGGCCATCGCGCCTCCGACGACATCTGGCACCAACGCCTTGGGCATCCTGCAAACAGCACAGTACTACAAACCATCCAAGCCGAAGTGTTAGAACGAAACGCTCTTCTTACAACGAGCGGCCAAGAACTTCGACGACCTCGCGCACGGTGCTTCACGTGCCCCGAAGCAGAACTTCCCAACCAACCTTTTCCATCGCATCACAATCCAAGTGCACCTGCATACGCACCGATGGAAAAATTTACAGCGACATCTTAAACATGCCTCGAGACGACACTGAAGCCGACTTCAACTATGTCATCACGTTCATCGATGCAGCAACAAGATATGTTTGGCACTACAACCTCAAGACGCGCGATCAAGCTTTCGAAGCCTTCACGACGTGGCTCCCCATCGCTGAACAAGAATCAGGAACGAAGCTCAAGAGCTTCCAGTCAGACGGCGCACTCGAATACCAGTCACAACGCTTTAGGAACTACTTGGCGGAAAGAGGAATCAGACGATTGGTGTTTCTGCCCTACGCTCACCAGCAGCAGGGGGTCGCAGAAAGAATGAGCCGGACCTTGCAGACGACGATGCGGAAGCTGCTCCTAGGGATGAGAATGCCCAACGCATTGTGGCCAGACGCGATGACCCATGCAGTCCACCTGCACAATTTGTTATCCTCGTCCTCGCTTCCCAACAACGCATCACCGCACCTGCTGTGGACACGAAAAAGGGGCAGCACAAAATTACTTCGGGTTTTCGGCTGCATGGTACAGTACAGACCCCACACAGCCCGAGCAGGACGTTTCACTCAACGAGCAAGGTGGGGACTACACCTCGGCATCGCCAAACATTTCCAAGCATGGAAACTCCTCGAGATACAAGACAAAAATACCGTGGCATCACGTGATGTGATCTTCTACGAACGACTGACACTGCAGCATTACCTGGACAGCATTGCCAACACACACGACCCCACCGACGGCTTCGCGGGCCTTCGTTCCTTCGCCGGCCGTGCTGCCGAGGCTGACGCAGCAGAAGAAGACGTACCTAGAGCCTCGGAAGCTGCCGGACCACTCCCTTACTGTTCCGTGCCTGTTCCACTTGACAAAGACAATCCCCTCGATAGCAACAACCTCGACACACACCCACGGGACAACAGATACTCGGCTTATGGGTCTCCGTCCAGCATCCGCGGCCGCCATCTCCGCGCGAGCCAACGACTTTGTCGCAGGCTCTGGGGGGGGAACACAAGGCGAAATGGAAGGAGGAAATGGAAAAGGAACTGAAAGCTCACCAAGACCGAAATACATGGAAGCTGGTACCTGCAACGAACATCAACGGGAAGAACGTTCTCTCGGGAAAATGGGTATACCGCATCAAGCCCGATGCGGACGGCTCCATCGAATGATTCAAAGCTCGCTGGGTCGTACGAGGATTCGATCAACGATACGGAACTGACTACACAGAAACATTCGCCCCAGTCTCCCGTCACACCTCCTTGCGCATTCTACTCGCCGTCGCGGCCACGAAGAAACTACCACTGCGCCAGATCGACGTCACAAATGCCTTCCTGTACGCACCTGTGGACGCTGAGATCTTCGTTGAGCAGCCCCACGGATTCATCGACGACCCCACAAAAGTGTGCCAGCTGATAAAATCCCTTTACGGGATCAAGCAAGCCCCGCGGCTTTGGCAGCAGCATCTTCACGGTCGCCTCGTCAGAATCGGATTCCTACAGCTGCCGCACGACCAAGGCATCTACGGACTACAGAAAGAAAAGGAATTTATCCTACTCATCGTCTACGTCGACGACCTTCTCTACATCGGCTCCACTACCAACATCGCCACCTGGTTCAAAGGGGAGCTGAGAAGTGACTTGACACTCACAGTGTCTGACACCGTGACCCAGTACCTGGGTCTAAACGTCGTCGAAGACAACTCGGCGTTCTACCTACACGCTGGAAAGTACGCAGGCGTTGTCGCGAAGAAATTCGGACTAACGCCGATTACAGTCACGACTCCCTACCGCTACGGGAACAACAACAACACCTCCGCAAAACTCCCCGCGAAGCAAATACAGGGGTATCGGCAGAAGCTTGGATGCCTACTATACGCAACAGTAACCTGCCGACCTGACCTATCCTACAGCGCGAGTCAACTGGCGACGCATCTGAAGCAGCCGGAACAAGAAGATCTCGAGGAACTTAATCGGGCACTACTCTACTTCGTCTCTACGCCGACGACCGGACTTACCTACAGTAAAGAAACAACATCGTCCGTACAACTACTCGGATACGTCGACGCCGACCACGCGGGAGACAGGGAAAATCGACGCTCAAGGATGGGCTACATCTACTGACTAGAGCCCATCGGGACTATCTCCTGGCAATCGAGCAAACAGGAACTAA